TCTCTTCCCTCCTTTTCCTTTCTTCCCTTCCCTTTCTTTTCCTTCTTTCTCTTCCCTCCTTTTCTTTCCTTTCTTTCCTCCCTCCCTCCTCCTTTTTCTCTTTCTTCCCTCCCTTCCTTCTTCCCTCTTTTCTCTCTTTCTTTCCTTCCTTCCCTCCCTCCTTTTTTATTTTTCCCCTCCCTTCTTCTTCTTCCTCTTCTTTTCCTCTTTCCTTTTCCTTCCCTCCCTCCTTCCTTTTTTTTCTTTCCCTTCTTTTTCTTCTTTCCTTTCCTTCCTTCCCTCCCTTCCTCCTTTTTCTTCCCTTTTCTTCCCCTTTCTTTCCTTCTTTTCTCCTTTTCCTTCCTTCCTTCCTTCCTTCCTTCCTTCCTTCCTTCCTTCCTTCCTTCCTTCCTTCTTCCCTCCCTCCCTCCCTCCCTCCCTCCCTCCTCTCTTTATTTTTCCCCTCCCTTCCTGCTTTCTTCCTCTTCTTTTCCTCTTTCTTTCCTTCCCTCCCTCCTTCCTTTTTATTTCTTTCCCTTCTTTTTCTCTTTCCTTTCTTCCTTCCCTCCCTCGCTCCTTTTTTATTTCTTCCCCTTCCTGCTTTCTTTCCCTTCTTTTTCTCTTTCTTTCCTTCTTTCCTTCCTTCCTTCCCTCCCTCCTTTTTTATTTCTTCCCCTCCCTTCCTGCTTTCTTCCTCTTCTTTTCCTCTTTCTTTCCTTCCCTCCCTCCTTCCTTTTTATTTTTTTCCCTTCTTTTTCTCTCCTTCCTTCTTCCTTCCCTCCCTCGCTCCTTTTTTATTTCTTCCCCTTCCCTCTTTCTTTCCTTTCTTTTTCTCTTTCCTTCCTTCCTTCCTTCCTTCCCTCCCTCCCTCCCTCCCTCCCTCCTTTTTTTCTTTCTTTCTCCTTCCTTCCTCCTTTCTTTCTCTTCTTTTCCTCTTTCCTTCCTTCCTTCCTTCTTCTCGCAATGTCTCCGCGGCTCTCTGTGTGGCTCCTTCCCCTCAATGTGCATGTTGACATTCTTTCCCATTGACATCACAGAGGGTCACTTCACCTGGCAACAGCTAATCCCCGTGTTATGTTTATCTCTCCCAAATGACACTCCATGAGATAATTACTTTATCCCATGGAGTGAAGATAGAATTATTATTATTATTATTATTATTATTATCATCATCATTATTATGTTTATATCCCACTTTATCTCTCCCAAATGACACTCAAGATATAATTATTAATTATTATTATTATTATTATTATTATTATTATCATAATGTTTATTCATACCCTGCTTTATCTCTCCTAAATGACACTCCATGAGTAATTACTTTAATATTATTATTATTATTATCATCATCATTATTATGTTTATTTATATCCCACTTTATCTCTCCCAAATGACACTCAAAATACTTTAATATTATTATTATTATTATTATTATTATTATTATTATCATAATGTTTATTCATACCCTGCTTTATCTCTCCTAAATGACACTCCATGAGATAATTACTTTAATATTATTATTATTATTATCATCATCATCATCATCATCATCATCATGTGTATTTATATCCTGCTTTATCTCTCCCAAATGACACTCAAGATATAATTATTATTATTATTATCATAATGTTTATTCATACCCTGCTTTATCTCTCCTAAATGACACTCCATGAGATAATTACTTTAATATTATTATTATTATCATCATCATCATTATTATGTTTATTTATATCCCACTTTATCTCTCCCAAATGACACTCAAAATATAATTATAATTATTATTATTATCATAATGTTTATTCATACCCTGCTTTATCTCTCCTAAATGACACTCCATGAGATAATTACTTTAATATTATTATCATTATTATGTTTGTTTATACCCCGCTTTATCTCTCCCAAATGATACTCCAAGAGATAATTACTTTAATATTATTATTATTATTATTATTATTATTATTATTATCATAATGTTTATTCATACCCTGCTTTATCTCTCCTAAATGACACTCCATGAGATAATTACTTTAATATTATTATTATTATTATCATCATCATTATTATGTTTATATCCCACTTTATCTCTCCCAAATGACACTCAAGATATAATTATTATTATTATTATTATCATAATGTTTATTCATACCCTGCTTTATCTCTCCTAAATGACACTCCATGAGTAATTACTTTAATATTATTATCATTATTATGTTTGTTTATACCCCGCTTTATCTCTCCCAAATGATACTCCAAGAGATAATTACTTTAATATTATTATTATTATTATTATTATCATAATGTTTATTCATGCCCTGCTTTATCTCTCCTAAATGACACTCCATGAGATAATTACTTTAATATTATTATTATTATCATCATCATCATCAGTATTATGTTTATTTATATCCTGCTTTATCTCTCCCAAATGACACTCAAGATATTATTATTATTATTATTATTATTATTATTATTATCATAATGTTTATTCATACCCTGCTTTATCTCTCCTAAATGACACTCCATGAGTAATTACTTTAATATTATTATTATTATCATCATCATTATTATGTTTATTTATATCCCACTTTATCTCTCCCAAATGATACTCCAAGAGATAATTACTTTAATATTATTATTATCATCATCATTATTATGTTTATTCATACCCCACTTTATCTCTCCTAAATGAGACTCCAAGATATAATTACATTATTATTATTATTATTATTATTATTATTATTATTATTATTATGTTTATTTATACCCTGCTTTATCTCTCCCAAAAGAGATAAAAAGTATCTATTATTATTAATATTATTTATCCCCCACTGTATCTCTCAGGGAAGTGTGCTTGCTACATCAACATTTAACATTTACACAACTGATCAGCCACTGCCAGAAGGGACAGAGAGTTTCATCTATGCTGATGATCGTGCCATCACCACCCAAGCAGGGAACTTTGAAATAGTTGAACCAAAACTCGAGGTGCCCTTACTGCCTATTACTGGTGAAACCAGCTGATTCCTAATCCATCTAAATCACAGACATGTGCCTTTCACCTTAAGAACAGACAAGCATCCCGAGTTCTGATAATTACCTGGGAAGGAATCACACTGGAGCATTGCGCACACCCAAATATCTGGGAGTCACTCTGGACCGTGCTCTGACCTACAAGAAGCACTGCCTGAATATCAAGCAAAAGTGCTAGAAACAATATCATACGAAAGCTGACTGGCACAACCTGGGGATCACAACCAGACACAGTGAAGACATCTGCCCTTGCCCTTGGCTACTCTGCTCCTTATACATGTTGTTGTTCATTCGTTCAGTCGTCTCCGACTCTTCGTGACCTCATGGACCAGCCCACGCCAGAGCTCCCTGTCGGCCGTCACCACCCCCAGGGTCTCCTTCAAGGTCAGTCCAGTCCCTTCAAGGATGCCATCCATCCACCTTGCCCTTGGTCGGCCCCTCTTCCTTTTGCCTTCCACTTTCCCCAGCATCATTCCCTTCTCTAGGCTTTGCTGTCTCCTCATGATGTGGCATTCAAAGGACTTCCACTTTGTCTCTAGTCTCCTTCCCTCCAATGAGCAGCCGGGCTTTCTTTCCTGGAGGATGGACTGGTTGGATCTTCTCGCAGTCCAAGGCACTCTCAGCACTTTCCTCCAGCACCACAGCTCAAAAGCATCTCTCTTCCTTGGCTCAGCCTTCCCTAAGGTCCAGCTCTCACATCCGTAGGTGACTACAGGGAAGACCATGGCTTGGACTAGGCAATGGATCTTGGTTGCCAGTCTGATGTCTCTACTCTTGACTATTTTATCGAGACTGGACATTGCTCTCCTCCCAAGAAGGAAGCGTCTCCTGATTTCCTGGCCACAGTCTGCGTCTGCACTCATCTTTGCGCCTAGAAATACAAACCCTGTCACGGCCTCCACGTTTTCTCCCTCTATTTTCCAGTTGTCAATCATTCTTGTTGCCATAATCTTGGTTTTTTTGACGTTTAGCTGCAACCCGGCTTTTGCGCTTTCTTCCTTCACCTTGATTAGAAGGCTCCTCAGCTCCTCCTCGCTTTCGGCCATCAGAGTGGTGTCATCTGCATATCTGAGGTTGTTAATGTTTCTTCCAGCCATTTTCACCCCAGCTTTGCATTCCTCAAGCCCCGCACATCCTCGCATGATGTGTTCTGCATACAAGTTAAAAAGGTTGGGTGAGAGGATGCAGCCTTGCCGTACGCCTTTCCCAATCTTGAACCAGTCTGTTGTTCCGTGGTCAGTTCTGACTGTTGCTACTTGGTCCTTGTACAGATTCCTCAGGAGAGAGACAAGGTGGCTTGGGATGCCCATCACACCAAGAACTTGCCACAATTTATTATGATCCACACAGTCAAAGTCTATAAAACAGAAATAGATGTTTTTCTGAAACTCCCTGCCTTTCTCCATTATCCAGCAGATATTGGCAATTTGGTCTCTCGTTCCTCTGCCTTTTCTAAACCCAGCTTGAACATCTGGCAACTCTCGCTCCATGTATTGCTGGAGTCTTCCTTGCAGGATCTTGAGCATTACCTTACTGGCATGAGAAATAAGGGCCACTGTACGGAAGTTTGAGCAGTCTTTCGCATTTCCCTTTTTTGGTATGGGGATATAAGTGGATTTTTTCCAGTCTGATGGCCATTCTTGTGTTTTCCATATTTGCTGGCATATGGCATGTATCACCTTGACAGCATCATATTATTATCTATTATTATTACTATTATTATTATTAGGCTTATTTATACTCCACTTTATCTTGCCCAAAGGAGACTCAAAGTGGCTTAACTGTGAGTCGTTTGTAAATCAGACATTTGTAACTCGGGGATTGCTTGTTTATATATTCCCATATCCTTTGGGGGGAGGGGGAGGAATAAAAAATACTTCTAGTCCCAAGAAGGGATAAGCAGTACATGATTTTCCCATATGTATATATTATATTATTGTCCTATATATATGTGTCTGTGTGTGCTAATGGTCCTTTTTGCACGCTAGGATGCCATTCGGACGCTGAACACGCTTCAGACCAACGCCAGTTACCTGGAGCAGGTGAAGCGGGAGCGAGGGGACCCCCAAGCGCAGCTGGAAGCCATGGCCGGGTTCCTCCAACGCAGCGGCTTGAAGGTGAAAAGGAAATATCTAGTCTCTTTATATTAAGACATTCCCCCTTGTATTATATTGCATCACATTATAATATTATTATCAATATTATATGTATATATGGTCTATTATATTATTAGCAAAGCACAATGTTAGTATTATTTATTATTATATCATACTATTCCACAATATTATTATTATTATTACCGTCTCTTAGGAATGGTGGGAATTCCAGTCCAAAACACCTGGAGGGAGGGAGGGCCAAAGTGGACCCAGGCCTGTCGTAAATTGTATTCTAATCTGGTATTTATTTATCGTGTCATCAGCAACCATACCATTGTATTACATTTCTAACAGAACAAAACAAACACACAGATTAAAAAACAAACAAACACAGATTTTGCAAGCTTGGTAGTGGATTAAATGTCCTTTGACCAGTATCTGTCCCCTTGGAGTGCCTCTGGTGTTGCCGCAAGGAGGTCCTCCATGGTGCATCATGTGGCAGGGCTCAGGTTGCATTGCAGCAGATGGTCAGTGGTTTGCTCTTCTTCTCCACACTCACATGTCGTGGATTCCACTTTGTGGCCCCATTTCTTGAGGTCGGCTCTGCATCTCGTGGTGCCAGAGCCATTCAGCGCCTTCCAAGTCACCCAGTCTTCTGTGTGCCCAGGGGGGAGTCTCTCATCTGGTATCAGCCATGGATTGAGGTTCTGGGTTTGAGCCTGCCACTTTTGGACTCTCGCTTGCTGGGGTGTTCCAGCGAGTGTCTCTGTAGATCTTAGAAAACTATTTCTTGATTTAAGTTGTTGACGTGCTGGCTGATACCCAAACAAGGGATGAGCTGGAGATGTCTCTGCCTTGGTCCTTTCACTATTGGCTGCTACTTCCCGGCGGATGTCAGGTGGTGCAATACCGGCTAAGCAGTGTAATTTCTCCAGTGGTGTAGGGCGCAGACACCCCGTGATAATGCGGCATGTCTCATTCAGAGCCACATCCACTGTTTTAGCGTGGTGAGATGTGTTCCACACTGGGCATGCGTACTCAGCAGCAGAGTAGCATAGCGCAAGGGCAGATGTCTTCACTGTATCTGGTTGTGATCCCCAGGTTGTGCCAGTCAGCTTTCGTATGATATTGTTTCTAGCGCCCACTTTTTGCTTGATGTTCAGGCAGTGCTTCTTGTAGGTCAGAGCACGGTCCAGAGTGACTCCCAGGGATTTGGGTGCGCTGCAATGCTCCCGTGGGATTCCTTCCCAGGTAATAATCCTCAGAGCTCAGGATGCTTGTCTGTTCTTAAGGTGAAAGGCACATGTCTGTGTTTTAGATGGATTAGGGATCAGCTGGTCTTCCCTGTCATAGGCAGTAAGAGCACCTAGAGCTTCGGAGAGCTTCTGTTCGACCATCTCAAAGCTCCGTGCTTGAGTGGTGATGGCACTATCATCAGCATAGATGAAGCTCTCTGTCCCTTCTGGCAGTGGCTGGTCATTTGTGTAGATGTTGAACATGGATGGAGCGAGCACGCTCCCCTGAGGCAGGCTGTTCTTCTGTTTCCGCCATCTGCTTCTCTGGCCCTGGAACTCAACAAAAAAGCTCCTGTTTTGTAGCAGGTTTCCTATGAGGCGAGTGAGGTGGTCGTCCTTTGTGATACTATACATTTTTCTCAGGAGGAGGCAGCGGTGGTTCACAGTCTCATAAGCTGCTGACAAGTCTGGTTATTAAACTAATCACAAACGCTCTCTTCCGCTTGGCCCGGCAGGTCAGCGACCTGGACCAGCTCAACATCATCCACGTCACGGGGACAAAGGGCAAGGTGAGTGGGCTGCGCAGGGGGAAAACGGCACGGGATTGGCTTGGAAAGAAGGGGCAAGGGAGGTGGAGAAGGGGTCCCAGCGTTGGAGTGTCCGGGTGAATGCAAACATGGGTTTGCGTACACACACGTATGTCAATAAACACACCAAAGTGGCACAGCACATTGGAGATGAGGGCTGGGTATACAATGCAGAATAATAACATGGGCCTATTATTATTATTATTGTTATTATGAGTGGTTGTTGCAATAATAATATATTATAATAGTAATATGTAATAATTATAATAATATTTTTAATTGTATACTAATGCTTTTGGGTCCAGCCGCTTGGCGTTCCCTTTGGGGAGACAAAGCAGAGTATAAATAGATATAATGTATATTTACTATCATTTTATGTAATGGTGCATTTTATTGGTGTTTTTATATTGTTGGAAGCCGACCCAAATTGCTCTTTGGAGGTCAAGAATAGGACGGGATTTATTTATTTATCGTATCAGGAGCAAACCAAACAGTTGCATTGCATTTTTTAACAAACAAACAAACAAATCACAAAGTTTGCAACCTTGGTAATTGATTAAATGTCTTTTAAGCAGTAGCTGGCCACTTGGTGTTACTATAAGAAGGTCCTCCCTTGTGCATCATGTGGCAGGGCTCAGGTTGCATTGCAGCAGGTGGCCAGTGTTTGCTCTTCTCCACACTCGCATGTCGAGGATTCCACTTTGTGGCCCCATTTCTTGAGGTTGGCTCTGCATCTCGTGGTGCCAGAGCGCAGTCTGTTCAGCGTCTTCCAAGTTGCCCAGTCCTCTGTGTGCCCAGGGGGGAGTCTCTCATCTGGTATCACCCATGGATTGAGGTTCTGGGTTTGAGCCTGCCACTTTTGGACTCTCGCTTGCTTGGGTGGTATTAATTTAGAATAAATAAATAAAAGCATGCACAGGAATGGCTGCTCAATCCCAGCAAAGAGTAAACATCCCGAACTGCACGAATGCTTGCATGCTGCAGAAAAGAAGGACCCATTGGGCTGGATGTGGCCTCTTGGGCAACCTATTTGTTTCCTCTCTCTTCCTCCTTCAGGGCTCCGCTTGCGCCTTCACGGAGCGCATTCTCCGCAACTATGGCTTGAAGACAGGTTTCTACAGGTGAGACGTCTTTTTGTCAACATCCCAGGGGAAATTCATGCACACAGAGGCTGCAATCCAGCCTCTCCTTGGCGTATGTAGATACTAGGGCTGTGCATCATTTCATTTTTAATTAGTAAGCCGTACCTAATTAATAATAATAATAATAATAACACTTTATTTATATTCTTCCCTTCTCACCCCAAAATGGACTCAATGCCATTTGTATAGACAGTACACAGACAAACAGCACAGAAGGAGGTGTTATTTCGATGCCATGGATGGTTGGGTTTGAGTCCACAGGGGATGCTGTCGCTCCGTCCTCTATGACAAAGAGCCGTCAGGACTTCCTTATTCCAGCACTTTCTAATCTTCTTTTTCTTTATGGCGTTGTAAAACACCTCCCCTGCTTTTTAGCAGTACCTAATTTCTCTAATTACAGCTAAAGCTGTTTTCGAACGGCTTAGGTAAACAGTGAGCAGGGTTGTTGGTCGGCTGCTCACACCGACCTGGGGCTTTGAACGTGCAACCATTCGGTTGATAGATCTTACAGTCAGTTGCTGATGATTTACCATCCATGCTATACCTCCGGCCCTGTAATTTGTAAGTTTTTGTCAATGATGGAACAGTGTTGGCAGTCCGACACAGGAAGAGCAACAGGGAATAGCGAGGCCAGTCCAAGTTCAATATGCAGGTAGCTTCCAAACGCATCCAAAAGCAGTCCAAGGTCGTACACGGAAGGAAGTCCAAACACAGCAACAGGCAAAACACATTGTGCAAATATTCAGCCTGGGGTCAAAACACAGCTCAGCAAAACTCCACGTGGTGTGATGCACATCCAGGAATCCAAATCATGGACTGATAGCATCCAAAATGACAACAGCTTCCAGCAATATTCTGTTCTCAATATCTTTATGCGCGTCAACTTGTGCTCTCCCTCTTGAAGATCTCCATCCCGCTCTCAAGCAGGTTCAACACTTCCTCCTCCATAGGCTCTGCCCCTCAATAAGTAATTTAAGGCTTAATCTTCCCATCTATTATTGTTATTGTTGGGTTGCTGTAGGTTTTTCGGGCTATACGGCCATATTCGAGAAGCATTCTCTCCTGACGTTTTGCCTGTATCTATGGCAAGCATCCTTAGAGGTAACCTCCGTATAGGAGCCCCCAATGGTGCAGTGGGTTAAACCCCTGTGCCGACAGGTCACAGGTTCGAATCCGGGGAGAGGCGGATGAGCTCCCTCTACCAGCTCCAGCTCCTCATGCGGTGACATGAGAGAAGCCTCCCACAAGGATGATAAAAACATCCAATCATCCAGGCATCCCCTGGGTAACATCCTTGCAGATGGCCAATTCTCTCATACCAGAAGCGACTTGAAGTTTCTCAAGTCACTTCGGACACGACAAAAAAAAATGGCCGTATAGCCCGAAAAACCTACAACAACCCAGCGATTCTAGCCACGAAAGCCTTCGACAATAGATGGTGATTGTTCTTCCCTCTCTCCTAAGCTCTCCCCACCTGGTTCAGGTGCGAGAGAGGATCCGAATCAACGGCCAGCCCATCAGCAAGGAGCTTTTCAGCAAGTATTTCTGGCAAGTCTACAACCGCCTTGAAGAGACCAAGGTGAGTGGAAGGGAAACGGGACCTTCCCCATTATTATTATTATTATTATTATCTTTATTATTATTAACAGTATAATAACCTAGAGAGGTTATCAGGGCAGGGGGGTCAAAGAAATCCCACCGCTGCCACCAATTATAATAACTTCCTCAAATGGTCGTCTGGGCAGGGGGGGTCAAAGAATCCCACCACTGTCCCCAAATTATAATGATATAATTTCTTGATGGCCAAACAATATCACTGGACAGGGGCAAGCAGATCCCAACACTGTCCCTCCTTCAATAAGGAATTCACACCACTTTGGCTCTTATAGCGTTTGAGGGAATGTCTCTTTCTTTAAAACCTTCGCTGCCACCATAAACTGAAGAATAACGAACCCTCTAGCTATTTAGAATGTTAAAAGGCTGTTTAAATTATTAAAAGGCTTTTTTACTCCACCAAATACTGTGTAATAACAAGGGCTTTCTTTGAGGGGAAAAATGGAGAGGTTGATTCAACGAAGAAAAGGACTCCAACCAAAAATGGCACTTGACTCAGGCTTAAGTTTTAAAAATAACAAGAAAGAGTTTATTGATTACAGATTTCAGAATTATAAGTGAATGCAGGTTCAGAGGCTTAGCGGTTACAAATAAAAGTGTTCTTGTTTCTTAGAAGCGTAATGGTTACTTGAGAGAATGGTTCTTTCCTTTGTTACAATTTCTTAAACACAAAACCCAGCTATTTTTCCCTAAAATAGCTGTAACCAGTTTGCCACAGACTATTTCACTGTGCAAACTCCAGGCAAACTGCCTATTCTAATAACGAACTCCTAATATATCCAAATCCTACTCTAATCTCTCTCAGAACTGAACTGCTCTCTACTCTACTCAGAACTGCTCTCTCCTTCCTAAAAAACTGAACTGTCAAAACTAGGCTGTTCTCTTTCCCTCCATCTGGCTAACTCCGCCCCTCTTTTCCAAACCAATCCTGGCTGTTGCTGGGCTGGCTCAGGCCTAGGCCACTCCCCCTCTCTGAGCTGGAGTTTCCCTAAACTAAGATGGCTCCAGCAGCTCTCTGCCAGGCCTTCTAAGCTGAAACTACCTAGCCTGTCTCTTCCTGGCCCTGCCACCCTAGCTGGCAAGGTAAGGGATCTTTACAAACAGCAACAACAACATGGAGAAAACTGGTTATTATTGATAATATTATGGAAGAAACTGGTTATTATGAATAGTACTACTGTTAGGAATGGTGGGAGTTGTAGTCCCAAACACCTGGAGGGAGGGCCCAAGTTGGCCCAGGCCTCAGCCTTTTTTGGCAGAGATTGGGAAAAATGCCTGCTTCCTCCCTAGGACTCACACTGTGCCGCCATGCCCGCCTACTTCCGCTTCCTCACCATCATGGCTTTCCACGTCTTTTTGCAGGAAAAGGTAGGCTGCTCTCTTGATTCGTCATTGCAGAAGGTAAACAAGCCCGTTCCTCATTAGGTTTTGCATTGGTGTCCGTCAATGTTTCATCAGAAACGTCGTACTAAGTTTTGTGTTGACTGTGGGCCCCACATGGGGAGAAGGGCAGGATATAAACAACATTATTAGTAGTAGTATTAGTCTTAATATTGTTAGTATTATTGGTATTATTATTAGTAATACTTATATTGTTATTAGTATTTGTAGTAGTATTAGGAGTATTAGCATACTTATTACTATTATTACTATTAGTATTGTTATCAGTAGTAGCATTGTTATTATTAGTAGTATTGTTATTAGTAGTACTATTAGTATTTTATTATTTTTTTTGTCGTGTCAGGAGCGACTTGAGAAACTGCAAGTCGCTTCTGGTGTGACAGAATTGGCCGTCTGCAAGGACGTTGCCCAGGGGACACCCAGATGTTTTGATGTTTTTCTCATCCTTGTGGGAAGCTTCTCTCATGTCCCCACATGAGGAGCTGGAGCTGGTAGAGGGAGCTCATCCGCCTCTCCCCAGATTTGAACCTGCGACCTGTCGGTCTTCAGTCCTGTCGGCACACTGCGCCACCGGGGGCTCCGCCACTATTAGTATTGCTATTAGTATTATTAGTAATATTAGTAGTAGTATTATTGTTATTACTATTACTTTATTAGTAGTATTAGTAGTACTATTACTTTATTCATTGTACTTTATTAGTAGTATTTCCATTGCTATTAGTATTCTTATTAGTAGTATTGTCATTGGTATTCGTAGTGTTAATATTACCAGTATTGTTGTTGTTATTATTATTATTATTACTAGTATTGTTATTAGTATTAATAATGCATATAAATAAAAATGTAATGTTCGTTTGTGGGATTAGCATAACTCAAAAACCACTGGACGAATTATCACCAAATTTGGACACAAGACACCTAACAACCCAATGTATGTCCTTCACTCAAAACAATTGATTTTGTCATTTGGGAGTTGTAGTTGCTGGGATTTATAGTTCACCTACCATCAAAGAGCATTCTGAACTCCACCAACAATGGAATTGAACCAAACTTGGCACACTGTTCTTCCATGACCAACAGAAAATACTGAAGGGTTTGGTGGGCAGTGTCCTTTGGTTTTGGAGTTGTAGTTCACCTACATCACTGTGGACTCAAACAATGATGGATCTGGACCAAACTCTACACGAAGACTCAATATGCCCAAAAGTGAACACTGGTGGAGTTTGGGGAAAATAGAATCTTGACGTTTGGGAGTTGTAGTTGCAGGGATTTATAGTTCACCTCCAATCAAAGAGCATTCTGAACTCCACCAACGATGAAATTGAACCAAACTTGGCATACAGTTCTCCCAAGACCAACAGAAAATACTGGAAGGGTTTGTTAGGCAGTGTCCTTTAGTTTTGGAGTTGTAGTTCAC